GGGGAGACAGCAACACTGATGAGGTATGCACACCATAGACAGGTCTATAGGGGAGACAGCAACACTGATGAGGTATGCGCACCATAGATAGGTCTGTAGGGAAGACAGCAACACTGATGAGGTACGCACAGCATAGAATGGTCAGCCATCAAGATCAAAAGGGCAGAATTTACTGAAGGACAACATTCAGAAGGACTGAGAAAGGAATGGAAACAAGAAACAGTGAGAACGTTGGCTAAGTGATGTTACGTTTGAGGGGATGGTGATCACTGAGATGAAATGAAGTTTGACTTGTTAAATGTGAAACTGATGGTCTGCACTGTAAATCTTCACTCAATTCACAATAAAAAGTTAAAAAAAAAAAAAAAGTACTTCTTAGGTGAGGCCAAGGGAGAAAACATGTGGAGCAAACGGAAGGGTATAAAATGAAAAATGGAAGGAACTTAACAGTCACTGATGGGAAATACCATAGTAAATAATCCCAAACTAAAAAATAACATTAGGGCGAAAACCAGTTATATCATCTAAAGACCTGTGACAGTTACCACTTAATAACTGAAATCAAATTTACACACAAAAACCAAGATACCAGCTTCCCCATCTAGATCTTTTCGATAACTGGCATTAGTGGTACAATGGTTAAGGGTGTTTAATACAAAATGGGAATGTGTTTTGGTGAATACTATAAAAATCCTATGTAGAATGCAGCTAGAACGCATGTGTGTTCTTAGCTCCTTTAGTGCCATCTAATCAGTTCCCACTCATAACGAACCTGACCTTGAGATCCAGTGCTTCTACATTATTTACTTGGTAATGACTGCCACATTCTTAATGGAGCCATTTTGAAGTGGCCCATATCAGTGACAGCTGCATCTCCATATTTGGAGAAATAATTACAAAGAAAATTCTGCGAAAAGACAGAACAGTTGAACACTTCTTAGGGTAAGACAGGTGATAACTTAGTTCTTTGAGGGATAGTGGAGATCGAATCATTGCCATTTAAAATCTGATTCTCCAAAAATATAAGTTAAATGAACTTTTATGGAATTTTCTGGGAATCGACATGCCATACATAGTATTATTTCTAAGGGAGAATATATTTTAAGTTCTAACTTAGAAATGGGACGTTTTGGAATATAACTTCATTTAAAATTAAACATTTGATGTATGGAAAAATATCTTCAGAAATTCATTCCATTTATCTTGGTGTGGCGCTCTGGGTTAACATGCCAGACTGCAAAGCCATTCGAACTGCAAGGTCGGCAGTTCAAGCTTACCAGCTTCTCCTTGGAAACCATATACAGGGTTGCTATGGGTCAGAACCAACTTGATGGCACTTCACAACAGCATCATCAAATGATTGTATATATGTTAGAAAAGAGCCTGTGGAAACTAACGTCTCAGAGTATTCAAATCATGTGATATTGAAAAGCTTCAGAAACTGAGCTGATAAAACACATGCAGTTCCATTGCTAGGCTGAACGAGCCACAAGAGAAGCAGAGGACTCTCATTTTTCCTAGGGAAGCAGTATTGCACTTCAGTTATTTAAAAGAGGTAATTAATATAATCCTAGTAGTGGCCTTCCAGTTAAGTCTAGTGACTTACACCTATAAATAACGAGATGCAGTTCTGATAGATCCATCTAAAGTGAACTAGCTTTGGAAAACGATAATCACAACTATAAAAGTAATGTAACCAACTGTCTAATATAAAAGGCTTCCCCTGCACCCATTACTGAAGATGCTGAAACAGTTGTGGAAACCACACAGCATCTAACATGGTTCCACAAGAACAAGGACTTTGTATGGGTTCTAGTGACTATCACAATGGGGCCCTTCATTTCACCAAGTGACTAGTGCCAACTCAATGCTAAATAACAGCCCAGAACATTTCATTTGCTTTTGTTCCCAGTGTCTACAAAAAGACACAAATGTGAGTATACGGAAAGTTTCTGGAAGAATTGCACATGAACACCTCTTAGTAATAACTATGGGAAATGGAGTTATATGATTAGAGGACAAACACATTTGGGGTTTTTGTTTGGTTATGAGTATTATTTTTAGTAAAAAATATACTGGGGTCTAGTCAGATCTCTCTCTCTTTACCTATAAAAAGGTAAAACCATTATATCCTAGTGGATTCTCCAGAATAAAATCTAAAAACTAGAGTGTAGAAGAAGGCCCTTCATGCATTGGTTCCCTCTTTAAAAGAACTCAAACATACCTCCTAAGAGTCATAAATGACACCTGGGAAAGCCAGATGTAAGGTGAAACATACTAGAGAAGGAAAAATAAAATATGCCCCATAAAAAGGATCATTAAGAAAGTGGTAAGACTGTACCTGTCAAAGGCAGAAACTTGTGAGATGAGGCAGTCCCACCAAGTCCCAGCTCTCACAGGCTCCACTGCAATATTTATGTTGGGGATACTTAGTGTGGTATGTTTTCTGTATCAGTCCCAAGGTTCAAGGTAATGGAAAGGATGGGAAAGTGTGAGGCTGCACATTCTTGATTCTGTCAAACAATGAGGGACAGTAAAGATGCATCTTGAAAACCCAGTGTTAAAAATCTCTATTGTTTTCTTCAATTAGAACTATATCTGTTAGTCTATTCATTTTAAAGTACTTTTCAGTAAAGCTATAAGGTCAGCTAATTTCAGTGTTTTAATGAGGAAAAAAAGGTGGTTCCATTCCAGAATGAGACCCACTGGAGAATGGGACTGGAGAAGAGTGAAAGTGAGCTATTAATAACCATAATGAGGGGCTAGGCAAAGATGGAGAGACCAGGAAACACTGATTGTGCTACTTTGCTAAGGAGATTAGGCTACATTTTCATCTTGCAGAGTGAGAAGCCAATAGATAATGCCCAAAGATCTAGAAGTGACATTACAAGCACCTTCTTTGTGCTGGAAAGATCACCAAAATGGCCAGTCAATCTAAGAATTTTAGTGTCACTGGTACGGCGCCGCAGGACCACAAGGTCAGTGTGAACTGCAAGGTCAGCAGTTCAAGCCTATCAGTCGCTCCTCAGAAACCCTACACAGGGTCACTATGAATCGGAACCGACTCGATGGCACTTAACAACATACTAACAGCAGCTTCTCTTAGATACAAGGAAACTGAGGCCCAAAGTCAGGCATTTTACTAAGGATCAGAGCCAACTGTTGAAAGTATATTTTCTAGAGTTAAGGATTTAAAAAAAAATGGCTGTGATGATTCCTTTTCCTGTGTTTACCACTATCAAGAAGATGAAGTTTCTTTTCCTACTTCTTGAATCTGGCCTGGCTTTGTGACTTGGCTTTGACCAAAAGAATGTGGTGGAAGTGAACATTGCGAATTCTAGGCATGGGCCATTTGCATGTCAGTCTCTGTCTTGGAACCCTGCTTACACTAAATGAACAAGCTTCAGCTAACCTGCTCGATGAAAGGACAATACAGAAGAGCTGAAGAACTTTAGCCTACAGCCAGGTGAACCCAAAACATGAGATCCTGGTATAGAGCAATAGAGCCCTCTACTCAATCTGCAGGTGACTACATTTCTAGGTGAGCTCAGTGGAGATCAGAATAACTGGCCAACGAAAGTATAGATTTGTAAGTAATAAATGGTTGGAGTTTTAATTCAATCAGTTTTGAGGAGGGGTGGGTCACAGCAAATGTTGATAAAATTGCCATGTTTAAATAAAAACAGTTTTAAATAGGTTACACAAGAGAATAAGGCTGAGGTCTGAGGTACAATATAACTCAAGGTTTTAGGTAGGAAAGACAGACTGGGCCATTTATAGTATAAAGAACTCTGAAAAATGGACAACTGTGCAAAGATTTAAGTGAGTTTACTACGTAACTGGTCCCATTGTTGTATCTTCTTGACATCCTAAGGATATCTGTGTCTTACTAGAAGTACAAATCTCTAGTACAAATTTGTACTAGAAGTACAAATCTCACACAAGAACCTTAGGCCCATACAGACTCCTGGTGTGGCACTGTAGGATCAGCACTGGACTCTGAACCACAGGTCAGTAGTTCAAACCCACCAGCGGCTCCTTGGAAACTGTATATAGGGTCACTATGAGTTGGAATCAACTAGATGGCATATAACAACAACAGCCCCTTCCAGAACCTTTTCAGTGAGCACTGGAGATAAAAGGAAGAGGTTCTTGTCCATTTGAGGGGGACCGATTCACCTCTCCTAGCATTCATCTTTCCAATTGGGAATAGGCCTTGGCTACAGAGAGTCTGCCACCTAAAGACACGTTTTAGACTGGGAATGGGAATTCAGACAACCAACTATTTCTGTAAAACACTTTATAAAGAAATGGGAGCAAATAAAGGATACTGGAAAAGCCCAAATTCTTAAATTAACCAAACCAAAACACACAAATATTTGCCCTCCAGTACTCTGGTAATGCTCATCTAGGAAACCACCAGACTGGTTTCATTATAACTCACGTTCAGGTGATTGGGAAAAAGAATTGAAACAGCTGGAAATAAAAAAATACACAGCCCCCCCCCAAAACCTCATTTTCCCTGACCCCAGTCATTTGGTTGGTTACTGCTTTCTTCCCTCGTCAGCCTCGTGATTTTTAAAAAAACCTTAATATCTGAAGGAAGACAATAATAATTAATTCTGAATTATACTTAAAGTTAATAAAATTTCAGTTAGTAATTTTTCCAAACCAGTGGGTAAAAACTGATATTAAGGTTTCAGATTTTCTGGAGCTGAACAAAAGAAAGAACTTTTAGAAATCACATATAAAAAAATGACTGTAAAGATCTAATGGAAAACTGAAAAAATCTCCCTCTCCCCCTACCCCCCAAGTCAGAGGAGCAAATCACTTCAAAAATTGAATGACTAGGGTGAGTCTTGATTAATATCTTGAGTTTTCAACAGCTATAAATATGTATTATCCTTTGTGAAAATGAAGATTTACAGAGTTCAACCATAAACTTAAAAAATAGCTTTGCTAGCCCAGCAACCTGCTGCTCTGAAAGTCGTGGACAGAATTGGAGGAAAGTGAACAGAACTTAAAAATCATTAAAAAGCCCAGGCTGACTGCTCAGATAAAGGTTGGTGAAACCCTGAGACTGGCCCTTGGACATCCTTCAGGTCTGTAACTGAACTTAATGTGTGACACAATTTTCAGCTAAGCAGTAGATAGGTATGTAGGGGCATAACAACATTAATGAGGTACTCCCCCCATAGAATGGTCAACCACTGAGCCCAAAGGGCAGCATTAACTGAATACCATTCAGAAGGGCTGGGAAAGGAGGAGGAATGGAGCCGGGAACCACAGGCAGAAGTGGGCTAAGTGATGTTACATTGAGAGGACTGCAGTCATTGAGGTGAAACAGTGTAGAAGTCACTAAATGTAAAATTCATGATCTGCTCTGTAAATCTTTACTTAATTCACAATGAAACCTTAAAATGAATAAAATGGGTTTCCACAGGAATAAATAAAGGATCATAGCCTGCCAAAAAGCCAAACAGAAAGAGCTGTTGTAAAATAGATGTATTTCTTTCCTTTTCAATAAGAGGTTCCTAACAACTAGTAATATCACCAAAAGATGGTTTGAAAATTGCTTCCTTATGTTTTTTCTCACTTTATTGAACACAAGAAAAAAGGCTATTCAGACTAAAAAAGGGGATATCATAATAATATTTCTTTGAAATAAAAAATGTATAATTCTCATTTAACCTAGTTGAAAATAAATAGAGTTAAAGGGCATTTATTATATGTCTCATCTATTTCTATTTAAGTTTTTATTTTTGATATTAAGAGTACTCACCACAGAACACCATACAAAACGGTAAAACTGGATAGATAAACCTGAATTCTTTATGGCTCAACATACTATAACAAAAAAAAGATATTAAAAGAAAATAGTTATTATTACAAACACAACCCTGTAATAATAGTAATAACAAACAATATCTTCAAGTAGGCAGATAGACATGCAGACTGAACAGATGTGGAAAGATGAATGGGAGTGTACACACTTATGTGTGTGTGTGTGAGTGTGTACAGGCTTGGCAGAGGATATTTCTGCATATGTATTTGTGTTGCAAACATATCCAAGGATACAGTAGAGCATGTAAGGGGTAAAGTTAAGAAAACTTATTAGCCATAACCAAACACTTTGGGTCAGGGCTTAGGAACTTAGGTATACCATCTCTGGGAACTCTGAAGTAAACTGGGATAGAAACTGATGGGACCCCCCAAGACGGTGGCCCTTAGACATCCTTCAAACTTGAAACTGAACCCACCCTGGGATCAACTTTCAGCCCTATAATTGTTGTTAAGTGCTGCTGAGTCGGTTCCAACTTATAGTAACCCTTTATAGGTTTTCCGAGGAGTGGCTGTTGAGTTTGAACCGGTGACCATGTGGTTCAAACCAATCTTGCAGTCCAGCGCTGTATGCTACAGCATCATATCAGGACTCCATGGCATGCCGCCACCACCACTATATATCTATGGAACTGTATATACAGATCTATCTATAGATAGCTATTTATACTTGTTGTCTTTAAGTGCCATTGAGGTGGTTCTGGCTCACAGTGACCCTATATAGGGTTTCAGTGGGTTTGAACCACTGACCTTGAGGTTAGTAGTTCAGTGCTTATCCTGTAGCACCACACCAGGATTCCACAGACTGTTGTTTAGTGCTGTTGAATTGGTTCGACTCAGAGACCCTGTATTGGGTTTGAACGGCCGACCTTGCTACTGTCCAGTGGTAATCCTACAGTACCACACTGGGAATCCCCATGTAGTATTAGCCTTATGTAAAAAAAAAAAAAACCAAAACAAAACAAAAAAATTCTCGTGCTATTTTGAGAAATTAATGTATTTAAAATAAAATATAATTACCATGATCTGTTTGGTTTCTTAGTCCTTGGATTTCTTGCTTAGGAATCAGCCATTATTTTTCAGTTGAAAGGTGATGATGTATCAAAATTAGCAACATTTAATATCAATTTGAAATTCTAAAGTACAATTACATACTAAAAAAGTAATTTCTGTTATCAATTCACATAAGTCTGATTATTCAAGTATGGAATAAATGCGTATAGTTTCAATTTTGAAGCAAAGTTTCTCTAGTCCTTCAGTAAAGGAGCCCTGGTGGTGCTTGGCTTCTAACTGAAAGGTTGAAGGTTCTACTCCATCAGCTACTCCACAGGAGAAAGATATATATGGTGACCAACTTCCTTAGAGATTATAGCCCTGGAAGCCCTGCTGGACAGTACGGCTGTGTCCTAGAAGGTCACCATGAGTTAGAATGAACACAGCAACAGCTGTAGTTCTTTGGTCGGTAAAATTTTGATAGTTTCTGGTTTTTAAAAAAACAAAATATGTTCAGTTTCTTAAAAATTGAGTGTAATCCTTGGTAAACAAAGTATACATATTTGAACTACTCACTGTGTCTGAGCTCCAGCCTAATTAACAGTCTGTCTGCTAAATAATCTCCACTAAGAAATGGTACGAGTCCTAGTGTGGTGCTGGGGGATAAAGCACTGGTCTTCACGGTTAGTATGAACCACAGGTTGGAAGTTCAAACTCAACAGCTGCTCCCTGGAAACGCTATGACTCAGATTTACTCAACAGCACTTAATGACAACTCTCTCTCTCTCTCTCTCTCTCTCTCTCTCTCTCTCTCTCTATATATATATATATATATATATATACACACACACACACAAAGTCCTGGAATAAACTCAATGGCACTTAATAACAACAGCCATTTATGTATATGGAATCCTGGTGTAGCACTGTAGGATATGCACTGGACTGCTCAGTCAACTTGAACCACAAGGTTGGCGGTTCAAATTCACCAGCTGCTCCTTGGAAACCCTAGACAGGGTCGCAATGAGCACTTAACAACAAATGGTAAGAGTTAATGTGTCTCCACAAGATAAAGATCATTTTTTGAAGAATCTATTCATTGCTAAGATTTAAAAATGAACTATTTGAACAAATAAAATCTTACCTATAAGCAAGCACTGTCCAAAGTACAGTCACCAAAAGAATCCGGAACCTCTTTGGGGCTAGAAAGCAGCCATGAATAAAGAAGGGTAAGTGAGTACCCAAGACTACTGGAAATCCTTGACTGAGGTACCAGTGCCCCGGATGAGAACCGTAAAATGTTCCCAAGTTCTGCAGCACGTTAAAGTTCAAAAAATTAAACTGAACCAAAGTCCACTAGCAGAGTTGAAGGAAAAAGGAATAGAAATACGTTAGTGCCAAGTATGAATCTTTAGCATTAGGGAATTTGACAGAATCTTGACATGAACTTAAGAATGCAACCTAAAAACCAGGCAAAAATTTATATTCTAAACTTATTATATTTTTCTTTTCTAAGTATTGATGCGAGCTTTGTTAATTTCTAAAAGGTAGGTTTTTACCTAAGCTTCAAAACTTAAACAGTTAAAAAGTAAACATTCAAAGTTAATTCATGCTTATTTTGGCAATGTAAGTTTTACATCTAACTAGAGATAAAGAGGATCCTTAACAATTTTTATGTATATCCCGTCACTCATACCAAAATTTTTACTCCAGCAACTTACGATACCACGTATTACCTTTTTAGGATAAAGCATTGAAAACATTCCAATATGAATCACAGCATAAAGCAGGCGGTAAGTAAAGCAGGAGCAACAATGAGACTTGAACATTAAGTGCTCGTGTGTGGCAGGCACTCCTAGAAGCTTTTTCTATGAATGATCACGTTTAGTCATCCCCTGGCCTTGTGAGACAGGCATCACAATGATTTCCACATAAGAACACTATGGTAAGAAATGTAACTGAGCTTTAAATGGGAGTCCTGGTGTGGCGTTGTAGAACACACAATGAACTGTTAACCAAAAGGTCGATGGTTCAAATCCACCAGTCACTCGTTAGAAACTATTTGCTGTTAATTGTCAAGTCGATTCGAACTCATAATGACCCTGTATAGGGTTTCTGAGGAGCAGGTGGTGGGCTTGACCTGCCAACCTTGTGGTGAGCAGTCCAGTGCTTATCCTACAATGCCATACCAAGACTCCTGGAAATCCTATACAGGGCCATTGTGGGACTAAACTGACTCGACAACAACACAGGCTTTCAACTGTGGCAGTCTGTTTTCAGAGACCATAAGTGACTTAAAATGGGGGGAAATGGGAATTTTAAAACAACCAGAGGCCATTATCCTAAAATCAGAGTAAAATCTCAAACAAAATGGTGTAAATATTCTGGTTAAATTGATTTCAGGATAATTAATAGGAAAAATGATTTTAAAATTTAACCTTTGTGTTGAAAAATATTAAAAGTACCATGGACTGCCAGAAGAACAAACAAATCTGTGTCAGAAGAAGTAGAGCCAGAATGCTCCTTAGAAGCCAAGATGGCCAGACTTTGTCTCTCATACTTACGACATATTATCAGGCGGTACCAACCAGTCCCTGGAGAAGAACATCATGCTTGGTAAAGTGGAGGGTCAGCAAAAAATAGGGAGACCCCAACTAAATGGACTGGCACAGTGACAACGTTAAAGGGATCCCGCGTAATAGCGGTTCTGAGATTGGCACAGTATTGGGCCGGTTTTGTTCTGTTGTGCATAAGGTCGCTGTGAGTCAGAACCAACTCGGCACCTAACAATGACAACATTACACACCTGACAAAAATACAGCTTACCTGCCTTAAAATAGACTCTTAAAACATAAACAAGAAATATACAATTGTTACATAGAAAGTAAAACAAATTGAACCAAAGGTATACTCTAGAAGTTAGTTTTTAAATGCATCCTTTTACTATCACTAAAAAAAGTCTCTGTTCCTAAGTATTAATAGATTATAAATATACAGATTGAGATTTCAGTGCAATAAAATATATTTTAAAATAGTTGTTAGCTTAATATTTTTACTTACTTGACCAAAAAAAATACGATCGATTATCAGAGACAAACCCAAAGTAACAAACCTGAAAAACAAACAACAGGAAAATGGTGATTCATATCTGGAACTTACTGAAAATCCAGGTGGATTTGCACGTAGCCTTAGAATCAAAAACCACTTTAAAATGTTTTACAATTTTACCAACTGAATACAGATTTGCATAGCTTGAAACACCTTTTGTCAAGAAGTTGCATTTCAGCAAACTTTAAAAAAAAGTAATAAACACTGTATTATATTTTACTGCATAGTAAGTTGCCCTAAAACTTTGCAACTTAAAAACTACCAACACCTCACAATTTTCTGTGGGTCAGGAAGCCAGGTGTGGCTTAGTTGAGCACCTCTGGCTCAAGACTGTTGTAGCAGCTAATGGCTGGGGCTGCACTGTCATCAAAAGGCTTGATGTGGACTGGAGGAGGGGATCTGCTTCCAAAGTCACATGGTTGATGACAGAGCTTGGATCATCACCATTCGTAATCCTCTGCCTACGAATGCCTCAAGATATGGTGACTGGCTTGAATAGGGTGAGCCAGCAAAGAAAGCAAGTGCCCAAGATAGAAGCCACAGTGTTTCTAATCTATGTAACATCCCATCACTTCTGCCATATTCTATCATTAAAATGGAGTTGTAAGTTCAGTTCACACTAGGGAGAGTATCATACAAGGGTGTGAATAACACCAGGAGGCTGCAACTGGAGATCATTTCAGAGGTGGTCCCACTTTATTATAAAGCTCCATGAAGGATCCCTATAAGAACACAATGGTGCAACTGCCATACATACATACCAGGATAAGAAGCACAGAAGAGCACTCCACAATGCCCCGCATGCCTCTGACAAATCAATATCCATCCTGACTTCTGACATCAGCTTTAACTTTTAAATTGTTATAAAAATAGAATCATACTGTATGTACTTTTAAGTCCAGCACCCCCATCATTGAGAGATTTAAACTTTTTTTTTTTTTAATGTTAGTCCATTTACAGTACTATGTAGTATTCCACTGAATGAATATACCACAATGTATTCATTCTTTTGATGGGCATTGTGTTTGTCATTTTTAGCTATTATCAATAGTGTTGTTACAAAATTCTACACATCTCCTAGCACCCATCCATGAGGGGGCTTCAAAAAGTTAGTGGAAAATGGAATTATCTTTTATTTCTATTTTACCACAAATGTATATATATATATATATATGGTTTTTTTTAATGTTTTAGTGTGAATTATGTGACATGGGAGAACATTAGCTTTACATTCATCCTATCGTATATCGTTTAGTGCCATGGTTACAATCCCCTCCATGCATCATCAACCAACCAAAGGGTACACCCCACAAACCTGCCCCCTGGTCATCAGCACACAGCCCCTCTCCCTCTTTGGGTCTAGAGTCCCCAGCCACTCCATCTCTCCATGTCATCATCTCTGCTTCCATCTCTGGCATCACTGCTTCTGTGGGTAGGGTCCCGCTCTCCACTCTTCTCCCTTGATGGTTCCAGTGACCTCCACTCCTGGACTGCAAAGTCAACTACCCTCCTCCTTTTGCTACAAATTGTCTACCTTTACATTTCCAACCCTTACAGTCAGTCCTGAAAACAATTATTCACCATTGTACCACATGAGTTGTTATCTTCATCTCCTTTCATCAGCCCCACCCAGACAGATTGGACGCTACTCAGTGGAGATTCTACCTTTCTCTGTGCCCTCTGGATCTAGGCTCCCTCTTGAAAGCTTGTAAGCCAGTCACTTCTTGCCTTTGTAGCCCCCATTTTGGGTAGCCAATGTCCAAGTTGCCCATCCCTGTCTACCCTGTGTATAGAAGGGGCGGGAAAGATTTGTTCCCTCTTTTAAGAGCTACTGCATCCATAGGTGTAGGTCAACTTCATCAAACTGTATCCAATTACTCTTTGTTTCCTTTTCTTTCTTCTTCTAGTTGAGCTCTGATCATCCAGTCATTGAAGCCAGGTCAAGTGGGTATTATTTGTAAGTGTAGGTGTTCTTGTGCATATGACCTCTCTTCTTTTCAGCAGGACACTTCACTCTCCACTCTAGTCCTCTGTGGCTATGTCAGTGACTCTGCGCCCAGGAGTTCCCAGGTCTTGCCAAACTGCTGGCCAACCAGGTCTCCACGTGGGTTCACAAGAGTGTATTGAATGTGGTTGGACTTAGCTCTCAGCTTCATTGCTGTTTTTCCCTCACTTCCCCTTATTGGTGATGAACGTGGTCACCAATCAGAGCATGTATTCCCATTGAGTTGTAGTCTTGGAAGGGTGATTGCCCTGAGGAGACCTGAACACTTGCCTTGATGTTTCCTGCCTATATTGTTTGTATTTTTCCTGTTGGTCTTTCTTTCAAGAAGTATCTTCTGTTCTTCTAGCCACTCCAGACTGGTCTGCTTGTCCTTTCAAATGGAAACTTCACACCTCAGAAGATTCTGGATGGGGTTCAGGATTCCAACCATGGTTCTATATAATGCAGAGGCTCCACAGGAAACCTCCTTCACTGGGCATGTTGTAGTCCCATTTTGGGTATTCCAATCAGTTATAGGCAGAATATGGACTTACAAGCTTTCTATGGTAATATTTCTGGCTATTCCTTTCTATCCCCCTCAAGTGTCTATTTTATAATGGTATGCTAGGGAAACCAAGATTCAAAAGACAGCCAAGTATCTTAACATTATTTCCCCCCTTTTGCCCATTCCAACCATGTCTTAATCCCAATATCCCAGAGCCCTGTTGTTCCAAGGTTGTGCATATATCATTATTTACCTCTGTCCCACTTAGCCCATGCAAACCTAATTGTTTTCCCATCCGCCTTGTTCTTCCATTCTCCTCCCCCTTCTTGTGTATTGCCCCCCTCCCTAGCACTCCCTATCCTGTGTCTATTCCCTACCCTGTGCTCCACCTTCCCCTCCCTCCCCACACCTCATCCCCCACATCCATGTAACCTCCAAAGAATTCTCCCACCTTTAATATGGGTTCTTTTTCTTAGTCTTTTACAGTAGTGGTCCTATGCAGTATTTCTCCTTTCATACCACAAACTTTTTGAAGTCCCCTTGTATAAGCATTTTTGTTAGGTATATACCTAATGTGGCAATGTAAATAAGCACTGGAATGGTAACTGAAAGGTTGGCAGTTCAAACCTATGAGCTACTCCTTGGAAACCCTATAGAGGGTCACTATGAGTCAGAACCAACACAATGGCATTTTATATTCCTAAAAGGAGTATATGAGGGTTCCACATCCATTTTAATCATTGTGGTAGACCTGTAGTAGTACTAGTACCTTAAAAGAAGTCCTGGTGTGGGGCTGTAAGATAAGCATTGGACTACTAACAGCAAGGTTGGTGGTTAATATCCATCACCAGCCACTCCTAGGAAACCCTATACAGGGTCACTATGAGTCAGAATCAACTCCACAGCACTTAAAAACAATGGTTTCAGTAAGGAGCCCTGGTGGTGTAGTGCAGTTAGCAGACTACACATTTGTCTCCTAACTGCAGGGTCAGCAGCTCGAATTAACCAGCCAATCTGTGGGACAAAGATGAAGCTTTCTGCTCCTGTAAAGATTTATAGCCTTGGAAACTCTATACAGGGTCGCGATGAGTTGGAATTCACTTGAAAGTACACAACCACCACCACTAACATGGTTGTAATGGAATACTAGTGTAGTGCTATAGGATAAGCAATGGACTGCTAACCACAAGGTTGGCAGTTCAAACCCACCAGCCAGAAATCCTATGTAGGGTTGCTATGACAGAACCAACTCGATGTAGTTAATAACAACATGGTTTTAATTTGCATTCCCTGATGACTAATTAAAACATATTCTGAAGTACCTGGTTAAGGTCTTTTGATAATTTTCCACTGAGTTGGTTTTTAAAAAATATTTATAAGTTCTATACATATACACGTAATCTGGATATGAGTCTTTTGTTATGTTACAGTGCTGATGAAACTAAAAAGAGTTTTTGTCTCCTCAGTGTAAAACGTATCTGATAGTATACATTTGACCTAGCTTGGATGGCTTGCTGATCAGAATTCTACCAGATGAAGATGAAGTTTGATCTAGGGAACGAATGTAAATTGCTATAATTTGATGAACTGGACCTTTGCTTATGGATGTAGTTGCTCAAAATTCCAACCAAAAGGGAAGGATTCTTCATATCAAGCGATCAAGCTTGCCCTCTCAGTACACTGGGTTCATATGGATGGGTAACAAAGACATTGGCTATCCAAAATGGGGGGCTAAAAAGGCACGAAGTGGCTGGCTTACAAGCTTTCATGAGTGTGCTTCGTTTCAGAACAATGGGGGTATGGCAGAATCCCCACTGAATAGTCTTCCTCTTGTTCAGTTGGGACTGGTGAAAGGGGAGGGGATGGAGGAGAATGGGAATAGGATTTCATGGTTCAATTATGAGTAACCGTTATGACTAATTGTGATTGTCACAACTGTAAATGTCGAAGATGTGTAACTAAAAGAGGGAAGTAGTTAATCTTTCATTTCAGGAACAGAGGACCATCAAGATGGAAGAACCAGAAAAGTGGCAACAGCAGAAACGGAAGCAGGGGTGATGGCACAGAGAGATAGAGAACAGCTGAGGACTTGGGGCCATGGAATGAGAAAAGCTGTGTACCCACGGGCAGGAGGTTGGCTTGTAAAATGTGTCCTCTGGACATTTAAACAAATATATATTTATAATATGGTAGATGTATCCCCCCCACCAAAAAAAAAAAAGGTAATAGAGGTAAATACTGCTGGCTAAGGATGCATGGAGGATATTATAATCATTAAAATAGTCTGCTGAATGTTACAATGGTGATCTGTCCTATAAGCCTTCCACTACACAATAAAAGCATTTAAAATAAGTTAACTACTTTGGATACTTTACCCTATAAATGAAGTAAGTCTGGTCCTAGCAGCTCATTGTTGTTGTTATTGTTAGGTGTCATCAAGTAAGTTCCAACTCACAGTGACCTTACACAAAGCAGAAGGAAACACTGCCCGGTCCTCTGCTGTCCTTACAGTCGTTAAACTTAAGCTCACTGCTGCTGCCACTGTCCCAATCCATGTAGCTGTGGGTCTTCCTCTTGGTTGTTGACCATTCACTTTACCTAGCATGAAGTTCTTCTCCAGAGACTGATCCCTCTTGATAATACGTCTCAAGTATGAGAGATGAAATCTCCCCATCCTTGCTGCACTTTTCCCAACACAGCTTTGTTTGTTCTTCATAGTGTAGTTAAAATATCTGGGTTTCAATCCCAGATCCTTCATAGCGACCAACAAAATTATTTGACTAACTTATTTTGAATTTTCCCAAGCCCTGTTTCCTCTTCCACAAACAAACAAACAAACAAACAAACAAACTATATTACATTATTAAAACTAATAGATGGACTATAGCCATACTTACCCTACAAGTGAAAACTGATACAGAATAAGATCAAGTTTTCTATGTTCTTGCCAGAAATGTCTGATGAGCAATGGCATCCATGGAATGACAACTGTGGGACGGATTATGAAGGCCAGTGCCACCAGGGATGAGTACTTGACACTAGAAGCAAGAGAAACCTATTGTCAAAACACCTGGCAAATACAGTTAGAACTTACCTTCTCTTTATATTAGGATCATTGAACTTGCTTTTTTAATGACTGTTTAATGTTCCTTTTGCTCCAAAGCAGCTTGTTCTCATCACAGTGGTCTGCCCCTCTTATACACACACCCCTGCAGTAGCATTCGATCTTTCTGGTCCCACATTTATTTTTCTCTCCAAATATATAAACTTGGGCACATGTCTTAAACTTTATGGGTCTTTTCAGTTTTTTTTCACTTGTAAAAAAAAGTGTATCTAAAGTCTTTTCAAGCTCTAAAATACGGATTCAACTACTTGCAACTGAGAGGATATTCTTTGTTATAATGCTGGTCTTGCAAGCTGAAAAGTATGCTAATTTTTAAAACTACAAATCTGCTGATTGCTTTCCTGATACAAAAAGGATCAACTTTCTCCTAAGCCTATAGGAAAGTTCTCACAAAATCTTTAATGCAAAAAATAAAAAAAGAGAAAGAGAAAAACATTAGAAATTAGATACGCAATGATAGTTTTCTGAGTAAAAACTAATAGAACTTTGTTTTAAAAGTTGATAACTTTATCCAATTGAAAGATTATATATATACAACCAATAAAAGTCTAAGTAAAGCTCTATGACCATGGATAGACATGTACATTTTTGTTAGATTTTTTTTTTCAATAAATTGCTGAAATAGATGATTTGACAATTAAGTGTCTTTGAGTCGGTTCTGAGGTTGTGAATCCTTACAGAAGCAAAAAGCCTCATCTTTCTCCTGCAGAGCGACTGGTAGGCTTGAACTGCCAACCCTGTGGTTGGCAGTCTAGTGCTTATCCTGAAGCATCATTGTGCTCCTACATTTGATAATTAAAAGCATTAATTATTAGCACTGCTATAAATTAAAACAAAGAAAAATGAAACAACTTCATTATACCATTATGTAGCTGTCAAGCAATAAAATGAACTTCAAACAAGTCTTTATTGCTACTGAATATGGAAGAGCAAGCATTACCAATTCCAATGCTTATGGGGACCAGGTAGGCAATAAGAGTGAGTGATGCTCACTGGGGCAGGAACTCTGGTAAACTAGAGTACAGGCCTCAATTATGGTCATGAAGGAGTGCTGACCCAAAATACTGCTTTGTGTTCTAATTTTTCAAGAGCAACCAGAAAAGCAAATCTGGTTTCTCCCAAGACATAAAATTTCCAAGTAACTCACTTTGAAACACAAGCACTGTCCATGGGAAATCCAGCTTATTTATAGCTTGTTATGACCTGCAGGCAGCCTAACTGCAACGCCTGCTGTGAAACTAGAGAAAGGATTCTGAAATGTCTGTTTTCTAGTCTTAACTGTACTCCAACATTTCAGATCCATATTTATGACTCTTTTCTCACTATCTACAGAGATCTCTTTTATTGTTAGGCACCATGACAGTTCTGACTCACAGTGACCCTATATGCAACAGAACGACAACACTGCCCAGTCCTGTGACATTCTCACAATCATTCCCTACGTTTCTGAGCCCACTGTTGGAGCCACTGCTTCACTCTATCCTCTTGAGGGTCTTCCTCCTTTTCACTGACCCTCAATTTTATCAAGCATGATGTCCTTCTCCAGGTACTGATAACATGTCCAAAATACATGATATGAATTCTTGCTTCTAAGGAGCATTTTGGTTGTCTTTCTTCTAACACAGATTTGTTCTTTTTTCTGTCAGCCCATGGTATATTCAATATTCTTTGCCAACACATAATTCAAATAGATGCATCTTCCATGGTCTTCCTTATTCATTGTTCAATTTTCACATGCATATAAGGTGACTAAAATATCATGGCTTGGGCCAGGCACACCTTAGCCCTTAAAGTGACATCTTTGCATTTTAACACTTTGTGTTGATGGTGGATCCAAGTAAAATGAACTCTTTGAAAACTTTAACAGATTTCTTGTTAATTGCCTTCAATTTGGTTTTGACTTATAACGATCTTGTACAGGGTCTCTTAAGACTTTCGAAAACTTTGTGGGAGCAGAAAACCTCACCTTTCTCCCATGTAGTGGTTGGCAGGTTCGAAGCACAGATCCTGTGGTTCACAGTCCAGTGCTTACTGTATCTCTTGGTGTTGTAGTTGTTAAGTGCCATCAGTCAGTTCCGACTCATAGCAACCCTGTATAAAGTTTCCAAGGAGTGGCTGGTGAGCTTGAACCACCAACCTTGTGTTTCAAACTGACCTTGCAGTCCAGTTAATGTTAAACCGACATTAACCCACAGCACCATACCAGGACTCCTATCTCTTACTGGCAGTCAAATCCGAAGAACCTCAAAGAACCCCCTAATTTTCCCTTTAACCTGTTCAGTGTCTAGTATTTTAAGTTAATTATATCACTCAATCTTAGTCTTAAAACTTTGGAGTCACCTTAAACAACTTCTCATTCAGTACATACGCTTCCATGTCTGGAATGTATTTTTTTTTTTTTTTTGGTATTTGCTTAACAACATCATCGCCCACACTTACTGAGAGCTTACTTTATGTAATAAGAACATATGTTACATAGTTTAGATAGACTTTCATTTCTTATGATAGCCATTTTATTATTCTCATTTTACAGAACTCAATGCTTAGATAACTAAAGTGTTACCATCTCTATAGGAAGCTTTCACTTATAACATGGAATTTTAAAAGAAATTTATAAAAGTTATTTTGCTCAAGGTAGAAATAACACGTCATGTTTTACATAGGGAAAATGCTTATATAACAGTGCCTATAGGGGCCAAGTAAGGAGCTCTGGTAGTGTAGTGGTTACGTTTCAGGCTGCGAACCTTAAGGTCAGCAGTTCGAAACTACCAGCCGCTCCATGGGCGAAAGATGAGGTTTTCTGCTCCCGTAAAGATTTACAGCCTCGGAAACACTGTACAGGGTCACTATGGGTCAGAACCGACTCGACAGCACGTAACAACAACAATAGGGGCCAAGCAGGTGCTTCCTGGCTTTGCAGCTGTGGTACAGTAAATTACTTACTATGGCGTTGTAGTCAAGAGTCTCAGTAACTCACCAAATGACTGCAAATGTAAAGTGCTAGTGACCCACCAAGACGATTGTTGCTGTTATTGTTAAGTGCCGTTGAGTTGGTTCTGACCCATAGAGACCCTGTATAGGGTTTCCAAGGAGCAGCTGATGAGCTTGAACCACCAACCTTGTAGTTCGAATGGCTTTGCAGTTTGATGCAGTAAGCCACAGCACCATACCAGGATTGCACAGGATTGTACAGGAATGTAAATAAGGAGCCCTGGTGTGGCACTGAAGGATAAGCACTGGACCACAAGGTCAGCAGTTCAAATATAGCAGCCACTCCATGGGAGAAAGATGAGGCTTTCTGCTCCTGTAAAGATTGACAGTCTCAGAAACTCTAGGCAAGCTCTCCATGAGCTGGACTCGAATGGATGGCAGTAAGCAGAGTTAGCGCCCTTTTGGGGATAGAACCACGCAAATAATGTGTCTGGATCCCTAACATGGGGACTGCTCAGGTTTTTGATCTCACTAGGCTTAAAATGAGCCATCCCAGAGGCGGAAAGGAAGAATCTTCCTACTATCAAGAAGGAAGAGCCAAGAGTACAGTGCAGCTTTGGATCCAAGATCTCTGTGCTGAACCACCTCAATCCAGGAGACAGAGAGCTGTGTGACACAGGAGATGGTAAGAAAGGTAGAAGCAGTGGCTGACAAATGGTGACAGCAGAACCAAGAGCATAACTGGTATAAGACAGAGAGGTGGACTCCTAGTCCACGGAAGGAGAAAGCTGAGAGGATTTGGGCAGGAGTCTTGCTAGTATAGTGAGGTGCCTCTGGACACGTAATTGGAGGGGCTAAGATTGCTGACCCACAGAGGTAGGAGTGGGCACATTTGGGCTGAGGCTTACTGGTAGAGTGGGATGCCTCTGACAGTTGTTGTTAAGTGCCATTGAGTCAGTACCGACCCATAGCAACCTTATGCACAACAGAACGAAACACTGCCCGACCCTGGGCCAACCTTACCATCATTGCCATGCTTGAGCCCACTGATGCTGCCACTTTGCCAAGCCGTCTCGCTGGGGGTCTTCCTCTTTTTCTCTGACCCTCCACCTTACCAAACATGGACCTTCTCCAGCGACTGGTTCCTCCTGATAATACATCCAAAGTATGAGCGATGAAGTCTGGCCATTCTGGCCTCCAAGGAGCACTCTGGCTGTATTTCTTCCAACACAGATCTACTGGTTCTTTTGGCAGCCCATGGCACTGTCAATATTCTCCTCCAACATCACAACTCAAAAGTATCAATTCTTCTACCGTATTCCTTATTCACTGTCCAGCCTTCACATGCATATGAGGTTATCCTTGCTTCATCAGCAGAGCTACAGGAATTGTGGAACACTTGGCTGAGCAGGGCAGAGTCCTAATCAAAGAACTGTATCCTGAGTTGTTCTAAGCCTGGACTGTGACCTGTCACTTCCCTAACAAACCCCATAGCTGTAAGTATGGTCTGTGAATTCTATGTGGCTCCTGAAACAAATTTATCAAACCCATCAGAGAAACAGAGTGCCAAGGAAGGGACAATTAGTGTTTGAATTGGTAAAAGGTTGAAGGGTGGAGGAATGTCTGACCTCCATCTTGTAGGAATCAGCCTGGGGCAGCTAAAGCTCATGATCTTGATCCTCCTCCATTCTTGTCAAGTTAGAGGAAGCTATAGTCCACCTCAGCACCATTGTTAGAATACCTCCTGACTGAATCAGAGGGTACCTGAGCCCAGGCAGCACTCAAAAGCCAGCCAATGTGAAAGCTATGTCCAAAGAGGGACAAAGACATTCAGCGTACCTAATCCAATCTTTCAAACTGAATGTCAAATAAAGAGAAAGTTGGGCAATGACAGAGGGCTAAAACAGGGATACATAAAACTCTTGGGGCTCTAATGCCCACCAGCTGCGAGAAAACAATACATTCCACAGAACTGTCTTGGGTTCTGAGTAAGCTTCCATTTCACTTGAGTGGCTGAGATAGTTTTCTTTCAGGCCTGGCCAGAGGCTGAGATGCTCATTTTGTGTTTTCATTTATCACCTTATATAAAACCAGTTGCCATCAAGTCCGTTCCTACTCATGGCAACCCCGTGTATGTCAGAGCAGAACTGTGTTCCACGGGCTTGGCAGTGGCTGAGTTTTCAAAAACCAGATGTTTCTTCCAAAGTTGCTCTGGGTGGACTCGAATCTCCAATCTTTCAGTTAGCAATTGTGCACATTAACTGCACCACTCAGGGATTCCATAATCTTGTAATAAAGTCCTTATGATTTGGGCAAGTAAGTAAATGAATGGTGTCCTGGTATGGCACTGTGGGTTAATACACTGGACTGCAAAGTTGGTTTGAACCACAAGGTTGGCAGTTTAAGCTCACCAGCTGCTCCTCTGAAACCCTATACATGGTCGCTATGGGTCAGAACTGACTCAATGGCACTTAACAATAAGAAGTAAATGAATAACAGTTTCCTAGCTAGACTTCTGAATTCTGGCTTTTTCTTTCAGTACACCTCAAATACTTCTATTATAAGAGAATTCTTTCTGAATCAGATTGGATTTTATTATGCTTCCTGCCACATGCTAGCTAGTGAGTGCCTGCCCTGAATATACCAAAACCCTCCGATAGCTTCTGTGCCTTTAATCATGTTATTCCAAAGGTGCCTGGTATTTGCTTCCCATGTTATACAAGCCCAAGTTAGCTCTCCCAATCTACACTGTGCTATATGTTCTCTATTTTCCCTTCTAGACCCATTCTTCTCCATCCTTCACCTATTCTATTTCCAGGGAGTCTGACCTGTTTGTATTGTATCAGTGGGTATCTTGCTTTGCAGCTTCTGATTAGCTTCAGTTAAGTACAGTGCAGGCATAGTAGCAAGTTTCCCTGGTTCTCTCCTACTGCTAAAGGTGGCTGTGTCTGTCTCCTATCGAGGTCCTCTCTTACTCTCTTTGGATTCCAGTAACAGTTCCCTTCCCTGAGCTGAAGAGTAGTAGAGACTCCCTGCTAAGACCAGTCCTGGGATACTATGGTATTCTCTCATTAGCGTCCTTAAACAGTATCTGCACTTTGTAAATAATCCTTTGATAAAAGTCTCCTTAATTACCTAGTCTAAATATGTTATGTGATGCCAACTGTAAGAAGTATACCAGCTAAAAATTTGTTGTTCCCATAACCCTCATGAACATTGGGAGTCTACTTTACATTATAATGCTGACATTTAGGATTTTTCAAATGCATGCTTTAAGGTTGTATGTAAGTATTAAAAGAACTATAGCTTACCTGTTCACAGACTTTGAACCTTCCAAAGGATAGTAGGAAAGAGCAATGATAGTGAGAACTGTTTCCATGGTGTTTGTAAGAGTTCTGGTACAGCAATACCATGTGAACCAAGAGCACAACTGGCAAAAAAACTAAGGACAATTATGAGCAAATATGCATGCAGTAGGAAATGGAAAAGCTTAACTAGTATGCCCTTCAATTCTAAATGTTGCAAAAATCACATGAAAAAGTAAATGGTGTTAAAATTAAGTAGGCATATCCAAACATCATTTTAAAGTTATATCGAATAGAAGTTTATGATACGATCAGACTTAGATTTGCTAATATGTGGCGCTACAGGTTAATGTGCTGGACTATGAGGTCAGTTTAACTGAAAGGTCAGTGGTTTGAGCTCACCAGCCACTCTGAGGAAACCCTATACAGGGTCACTATGAGTTAGAAAGGAGCTCTGGTAGCGTAGTGGTTACGAATCGGGCTGCAAACTACAAGGTCAGTAGTTCGAAACTACCAGCTGTTCCACGGGAGAAAGATGAGGCTTTCTGATCCAGTAAAGGTTTACAGCCTCAGAAACCCTGTACAGGGTCGCTATGGCACATAACCACCATATAACCACCACCATGCGTTGGAACCGATTTGACAGTACTTAACAACAATATTAAGAAGCTTCTATTTTTCACATGGATTTTAATGACACATTTGATTAAAATCCTATTTCCCACTTGTGAAAGACATAAAACACAGATTCTCTGATGGTTGATTTTTCAGAGGATTGAAATCCATGACTACATTCCCCCAGTCAGTATCTTAAAATCATCTTCCATTTACTAACACAATACTTTGAATATTTTACAATTGAACTTCTCAGTAACCTTGGTTTGGAATGCCACTACCCTATTCTTGATGAAAAATAAAGACAAAAGAAGAGAGGAGAAAAATGACAGTCAGCCAGCATTATTAAATTTTCAGCTGAAAATCGGCTATATCATTTAAGCCAGCTTTTGGCAAAACATATAGATAAGTCTCACTGAGTCTCCCAAATGAAAGACTGTGGTACTAGTTTTCTATGTCTTCACACACAGCCTGTAAAAGTTGTTCCGAGTTTTCACTAAGTTAAGGGCCTTTCCCTAAATTACAAGAACCTAGTGCTGCTACTTTGGAGGAAAGACTGAAAAGGCACAGGACCCTTGTCTACCATTTGGGGTTGAGCCTTCAGCCGCAGGAAAATGTATATGAAAACTTAGAACAAAATAAAGAGACTGATTTTCTCCCTTATTAGCTAGGACCTAGTCGCTAAAACAACCTTTTTCTTTTTAACACAAATGAATACACTACTGGGTGAAATGTCCCGTTTCTAATTTACTAAGTTATGCTCCTGAAGTAAGTTGGGAAATTGGTTAACTGGAATTTGGTATGTATTATTCAATAAAAACTATGTAAAAAGGTAGAAAGATTTTCAGGGTGGCTCACACAAGCCTATTTAATTCAAGAAAAAGTCAAAAGTAAAGTAACAATAAACCACACACACACTCAAAAACCCCACTGCCATAGGGCTGACACCGACTCACAGCCATGTGTTGGGATTCCGAGACTGTGAGTCTTTATGGGAGGAGACAGCCTCATCTTTCTCCTGAACAGCTGGTGGATCTGACTGCCAACTTTGTGGTTAGCAGTCCAATGCTTATCCCACATGGGGTTGAATGTTGTTATAGCAGCACTAGATAACTAAGAAACTTCTTTTATAACTGGCATACAGTTTCTAAAGTATGTATATAACTTACCACCCATCTTGCTATTTTCTCATTTTCTAGTTGCTTCATTAATGAGTAAAGCTTCACATCTGCTATAGCTGATAAAACTGCTTGGGCAAGTCTAGGAACCCAAATCTTCAAAAAAAAAGATAAAGAAAAGAATTATGTAAACCAAAGCATCTGTTAGCTTACTCTGAATACTTTTAAAAATAAACAAGCTGATCCAACTGAAGTGAAACCCATTCTTAGAACAAAAATCAATATAGTTTTATTCTTTTGGAAAAAAAAATTTTTTTTCTATTAGGATTTTATTCTCATGAAAATACCCAAAGTTGTTCGTTGTACTATTCTCTCTCTATAAGTATGCATACTGCAGTACTACTATTTATAACTTTAATAGCCACCAAACCATTTCACTTTGTTGAAGTTGTTAGACACACATCTAGTTATTAGCATATGTAATCTTTTATCAAGCACTTAGAGTTGGATGTGCTAGGTATCATACTAAGTACTTCATGCATATCTATATTAGCTCATTTAGTCCTCTTAACAGCTTTATGAGGTAGGTATTATTTGATTCCTGCTATACAGATGAGGAAATTGAGCCACAGCACAGTTATGTAGTTTTCTCAAGACTGCATGAAAGTCAGGACCCAGGTCCAAAGCCTGCTCTCTTACCTGCCACCCCTGCAATATAGATAATACAATAAAACTATTATCTTCTTTATAAGTACAACTATTCTAAAATTTCAAAAAAATATGGTATGTAGATGACATGAAAAAGTAAACTTATTATAACTGAAATTACAGTTAGAGATTCCTGTAATACACATCAAGACGTTGAGTGTTTTTTTTAAAAATGCATCATTATAAGCCACAAAATTAACATTTCTGGTATAGCACAATTTAATCATCCAAGAGATGTTTCTAGAAATCTATATGTTGTTACGTGCTGTCAAGTCAGTTCCGACTCATAGCAACCCTGTATAGGGTTTCCGACTGCCGACCTTGGGATTCAAAATGACCTTGAGGTTGAGTGTTTACCCTATGGTGCCACACCAGGGCTCCAAAAATCTATATAAAAATTTATATTTTAATTGAATCAAAACTCATTTTATTGTACCTAGAGCTGCTTTACTTTCAGGTAACACTTCAGCTTTACATTCCTTTTTTATCAACAATTTGTAAATAAATGCTTTTATGTTAGCGTTAACAGTAGCCTATACGTCATCATTCCACTTAAACTTTACCCTGTAAAGTACAGTAAAACGCCCATATGTGCACAGGTCTACAAGGTTCAACCTCACCTCCCAGGCCTCTGAAAGTAGTTTAGTTTACCTGAAAAATCAATTTGGGTGCCAACTTAGTATGATTCAACAGTGTGAGTTAGCTATTCAAAGGGTAAGGAATCATGCTTTAGAGAGGTAGTTTACTTTGGTTCACAAAACAGCCAGGTGAGTCAGCTATAGCTTGAGGGCAATGGGTAAATCCTGAGTTCTAGCAGAATGGTCTTCACTTTTGAAGATACTTAAGCTGTTTCCTGGGATGTGTCTTTCATGACATTATGTACATTTACCTTTGTGGTTAGCCATCAAGAGCTTATCCTACAGTGCCACATCAGGACTTTTATGGACAACTCCTGTTGTTAAGTACTGCAGATGGGGTTTCCTAGGAGCGACAGGTGGGTTTGAACTGCCAGTCCAGTATTTATCCTTCAGTGCCATAGCAGGACTCCATGGACAACTCCTAGTTGCCCACTAATGTTATGCAAATTTGTGCACTTTGAAACAAAGCTGAGTGAACCCACACTCACAAAAATTCTTCACCACATCACCTTTGCTTGTGGCATGTCCAGCTTTTAAGTCATTGTGAAGACCGAGTATTTTCTTGCACTAAAGTAAGGCTAAATAAGAACTGTATACACCTGTTCCAACTTACCTACAAATTCGAGGTACAGTTTCACTTAGGAATGGACCGTAACTGGGGACTGCTTGTAACCTGTGTAATCTACAAACTAGTGAGTGGCCCTGGGAGGAGAGAGTTCTCAGCTCCTGACCCCACCTGTCAACAGGAGAAACTGCTTCTGCTCGAAATTCTCCATCCCATGATCTTCCCGTGTCAAGTATGTTTCACTGGTCTGATCCTCATTTCTTTTCAATGATGAGGAATCAAATATTATTTGTACACTCTGCCTTTTTAAAAGAATGCTCTAGAATTTCAGTGCCTTTCCAGGCTCCAAAAATATCTCAGGAGTTGGACTCCCTTTGGAATATGGAGCTACTCCTACCATCCCTCCCTCTAAAACAGGGGGAAGGTCTAAACTTTTGGATCCAACTTGATGAAAGCTTAAAGAAACTCGAAATTGAGGTTAGAGAAACGTTTGCATCAGTTCATAATCCTTACCAGCAACGACCCTAGTAATACATGATCTAGGAATTATAACCATCAAATTGATTCCTACTCATGGTGAGCCCATGTGTGCAGAGGAGACCTGTTCCACAGGGTCTTTAAAACTGTTTTTGGGAAGTGAATCATCACATCTATTTTCCAAGGCACCTCTGAGTGGGTTATGAACTGCCAACCTTTTGGCTAGTAGTCAAGTGCTTAACAGTCTGTGCCATTTAGGGACTCCAATTACTACACATGACTATGCATATCATTAAATTTTTGAAAAATTAATTTTTCTGCTTTGGTACTAAATCCTGTGTGGGTTCATATGTATTTATTCTTTCTAAGTTCATAAAAGTTAATCCTGCTTTCTGGTGATTCGTCTATAAAGGAAGTAAATGTCTAAATCATTAATGTAAAATGTCATTTAAAAAATCTGCAGAGCTAATGGCATTCCTTGGGCAGAATACTCTCATGTCCAGTTTCATGTCTGAGTTTTATTGTCGAGTGACCCATCACAGCATATCTCTAGAACCAGGGTCTTCCTAGCTATGGCTGAGTCTTAGCAGCTGTGGCCTTTTAAAAAACAAACTTCATGGTACCAATAATATCATTCAGTTCACATACACTCATCTGCAAAACAGATGAATTGAATAGACTTTTACAATGAATTTAATTATTTTTATTTGAACTTACCAGCAACTGAACAGTATCTTTCCCCAAAAGATACAGAATCTTGTAAATGCTTGCAAAGATGAAGGGGTAAGTATAACCCCTCAATCTTTCTGTCCATTCCCAGGTCAAATGCCCATAATTAGTAACATTAAGGATCAAACTTCAAATAGTACTGAAACAAAACGTATTTTCATTTCCATGCATAAAACATGATTTTCATTTTTGACAGTTAAGTTTTAAAACACTGAGGCCTTTTATACTGAATATTTGAATTACAAATGCAGTTTTCCAATTAAGTGCTTTACTTCTTCAAGGCACTAAGCACTGTAGGGATTAATATCGTTGTTAAGTGCGGGCAAGTCGGTTCCAACCCATAGCGACCATGTATAAGGTTTCCAAGGAGCTGCTGGTGAGACCAGCCTCTCAGTTCAAAGAAACTTTGCAATCCAGCTAGCACATTAACCCACAGTGCCAAATCAGGGCTCCATAGGGATGTTGTTGTTGTTATGTACTGGGGAGTCAGTTCCGACTCATAGAGACCCTGTACAGGGTTTCCGAGGCTATAAATCTTTATGGGAGCAGCTGGTAGTTTTGAACTGCTGACCTTGTGGTTCACAGCCCGATTTGTAACCACGACGCTACCAGAGCTCCTTCCATTGGGATAATAGGTGCTAGTTAAAGACTGGATTGGCTATACTAACATAAAAGAAAGACATAGAAGGAATACTATCATGAGATAATGGCATTCCTTGAGTTAAAATGTATTTGGAGAAAACATGGAGAACTGACTGAAGATATTTAACAGGGATTGAACTCAATTCATCAGATGAATATATATTTCTAGTTTAAAAGAAACTACAAAGGATATTTGAAAACCATGTAATGTGCAACTTCAAGAGACTGCCAGTATTCATCCGGAACAAAACTTGTCTGAACTAAAAAGCAGTTAAATATTCTTAAAGTTATGGTAAATAAAACCAGATAAATGTTTTCACCAAGAAGATCTGAAAAACAAAGCAAAATAGGTCATTGTAGCATTAAAAAGTCCAGCACGTTCCATTTGGCAAAACTTAAATTTGACTGCTCTGGCTGGGTGGGCCCTTGCACATTTAGGACATGGCAGTGGATTGGCTCAGTGGCAGGAGCAATGGGCTCATCTTAAGAATTGTGAGGACGGCGCAGGACCGGGTAGTGTTTCATTCTGTTGTGGAATCTGACCCTCCCACCTCACTCCCAAAGCTGACTGAGCTGAAGGTTATACTACACCACAACCACACCACTGTCCTCTTTTGTTTAACCAACCTTTCGAGCATCTTATTACATAAAAGAATAACAAGCTAAATATTGAAAGGGACTGGGTTAGTTTTAATTCATCCTACATGTGTATCTAGTGAAACAAACCAGCTAAAAAAAGGCAAAATTTGCTGCTCCTTGTTAAAAACCGTTGAGTCGGTTCTGGCACACAGTGACCCTGTATAGGGTTTGCGAGGAACGGCTGGTGAGTTTGAACCACCAACTTTTGGGTTCAAAGCAACCTTGAGGTCGAGTGCTTAACCTACAGTGCCACAAGCAAAAAGTTGCTTATGAACTTAAAAAACCAACTCTTTAGTTAGTGGCATATACAATAACTTTGTGTACATTTTAAAATACACTTTATTGATGCCAGTACTGTGGTAATCCCTCTACATGCATTATCTTATTTAATTCACAAAATAATGCTATGGAAAATCAAAAAACCCCAAACCTGTTGTCGCTAACAGAGGAGAAATACTCCATAGGAATTTCTTGGCTGTAATCTTTTTGTTTTGTTTTGTTTTTAAATATTTTATTAGGCTTTTGACTCTGTGGGTTAATGTACTAAGCTGCAAAGTCAGTTTGAACTGCAAGGTTGATGGTTCAAGCTCGCCAGCCGCTCCTCAGAAACCCTGTACAGGGTCACTATGGGTCAGAACTGACTCGATGGCACTTAACAAGATAAAAGTGTACATAGAAAATCTGGTTCCCACTTAACAATTTTTACACCAGTTATTCAGTAACTTTGGTTACGTTTTTCACAATGGGCCATCTTCTCATTCATTCCATTCTGGGTATACCATTTGTGATGCTCTAGTTTCCCTGCCCACTTACCTTACTTATCATCTTTGCTTAGCGTTAATTTTTGACTGTTTGTTCTCCTCCAGATGATTTTTCTCCTACATTAATTACTCATGGATGATAGTTTATATTGTATGGGTCACTCTGTTATTTAGCTCATTTCAAGGAATAATTTCCATTTAAGGTGTAAGAGTATTTCAGGGTGATAGTCTCAGGAAGTCCTCTAGTCTCCACTGGTGGAATAAGTGGATTTATTAAGAATCTGAGTCCTGTTCGCATGTTTTCTCTTTTGAGTATGCATCTAGTGTGGCTCTGAGCAGAACAGTTAGAAGTGGTAGCCAGGTACCATCTAATTCTGGTTTCAGGACAGATGAGGCCATGATGTGTGTAAACTATTAATTAGCCTTATAGGAGTCCTGGTGGCGCTGTAGGATAAACACTGAACTGCAAGGTCATTCTGAACTGCAAGGTCTGTGGTTGAAACTCACCAACTGCTCCACTGAAACCCTATACAGGTACTTAACAACATTATCTTTCTTCTGTGAGTCTTTGGTTTCCATATTTCTCTTTTGCTCCAGATCAATCTAGGAAAATTGGAAATTTTCAACATGAGATGGAACACATAAACATTGCTATCGTAGGCATTAGTGAGCTGAAATGGACAGGTGTTAGCCATTTTGAATCTGACAACCATATGATTTATTATGCCAGGAATGACAAAACTGAGGAGGAATGGTGTCACATGCATCATTAAGAAGAACATCTCAAGATCTAAAAGTATAACGCTATCTGAGATAGGATAATAGCCATATGCCAACAAAAAAGTTTAGTCATTATTAAAATTTACACACTAACCACAAAAACCAGTGATGATGAAACTGAATGATTCTATCGACTTGTTCAGTCTGAAATTGATAAAATATGCAATCAAGATGCATTGAAAACTTATCCAAAGTAAAAACTTACAAATGACAAAAACAAGAGTCAAACCCAGGTCAGTCTATGGATTCCAAAGTCCTTACTCTTAACTGCAAACAGAAAACATGTGAATCACAAGGTCTATGGTTTGAGCCCATCAGCCGCTCAGTAGGAAGATGAGGCTTTCAGCTCCCGCAAAGATATTAAGCCTCAGAAACCCTGTACAGAGTTGCTATGAGTCGAAACCAATTTGACAATACTTAACGTGCTGAATACAGCATATTTTTTAAATTTAAATTTAGTTGCCAACATTTAACAATAAGATTTTATATTAAAATCTGAATGTCCATCATTTTACAACTCTTCAAGGTTTTTCAGTACAGAGACTGGCAACATCTGTCTGGTACTCAAATATAAGGGGGCTTCAAAAAGTGTGGAAAATGAAATTGAAAAAGAACAGAATTTTCCCAAACATTTTGTGGTATCCTTCATATAAGCTGTGCCCTTTAGATGGGGAGAAGCCCTAGGGCAGCTTCGCTTATTTATTAGCCTTACCTGTCCAGGGGGCTGAGTATTTGAGTTTGGTATCACTTTGAGTTCCTACCACTCTCTCTTTCCACGAACACACCTTATATGTTTCTCAGATAACTGGCATACATTCATCTTCCTTAAACACTGAAAAACACGATTTATTTTCCTGCTACCAAAAAACTTTCTTGTCTCCCTCGGCCCCCACGGTCTCCCTTTGCTCTGTGGATTCAGATGGATTTAACAGTAGTCAGAACCGATCCTTGAACAACTGAGTTTGACTACATAAAAGCTGAATTGGACGGACGGCTGTGACAAGGGCGATTTGATTTACTGTAGTTACTAAGCTTTCGCTGATGGGATAGGGGAGGGAAGGGCGCGAGCCCAATTGCTTTCCCTGTCTTCCCTCCCTTTCTCAATTTTTACGTAACAAGACGATTCTCCATTTTGCGGGTCTCAGTTTACCAGAGAAGATATAGGGGATTATTTTCATTCCGCCTCCACCATGCTTAAAAACGAGTTCAATATATACACGTATTTACTGAATGAATGAGAAGACCATCTTTATCCTAAATAATCCTTCTGACAAATCAAAATTCCACTTTCTGGGGTGACTTTTCTTTGATCATCATCATATCCAAACTAAAGAGAAGGAACCAGTCAGATCTGGTCCCAGTCCAGATCTCAACACTTTCATAGCGACCCAGGGAGTTTCCAAGGGGTGGCTGGTGAGCTTGAACCGCCGACCTTGAAGTTCAGAATGACTTTGCTGTCTGGCACATTAACCCACAGAGCCACACCAGGACTCCTCATAGCTGGGTAAGGAAGATTTTTATTTCACTGTAAGGACGTGGGAATTGGGGCTCAAAAAAGCTAAATAACTCGGTCAAGGTCTCTTAGCGAGCTACTGACCTAACGGGAATCTCACTGTCCCATCCCTGAAATGAGAATCGCCACATCACACCTACTCACTTTACAGGGCTGCTGGAAGGACAGGATAAAATAATGCTGAGTTGAAGGGATCGAGAATCTAGTGAGGAGCGTCTAAGAACCGTTTCTTGGCAACTCCACCCAGCAGATGGAGCCCTAGCGCAAATTCTGCGGCTTCCCGCCATAGCCTCAGGGATCCGCCACGGCAACCCCTCACTCACCCCAGCGGCGTCCGGCGCTCGCCTCCTGGGCACCAAGGTACAAGGACGATTTTCTCTTTCGCAGCTTTATCTTCCCCTGGGCGCGGTTTTGGAGACCGCGGAAGAAAAGGCTGCTTTCACCGCTCTCCTTCTCCATTCTTCACCTGCTTGGAGACCCGCTGCAAGATCCCCGAGCACTAACGACGTTTACCCGACAGTAGGAGTGCTGGTGTGGCGCTGTAAGATAAGCTCTCTAAGGTCGGTTTGAACTGTAAGGTCGGCAATTCAAACCCACCAGCCGCTCCTTGGAAACCCTATACAGGGTCGCTGAGTCGGAATCGACTGATGGCACTTAACAACAACAGGAAGCGATGGTGGTGCGCGTTGCTGCTCCGTCCACTAAGTTTGGTCTCTGCAACGAGCCGTCGTTCGCCCACGCGAAGGTTGCCGGGAAAGGACAACTTCCTTAATGACTGCCCTTCGAGGGTGGTCTTTGCCTCAGATCTGCCTCTCTTTGCTATCTCTGGTGCAAAGTCACTTGCGCATTCCCTTTATCATCTTCCCTCCTGGGTTGTTGCCTGCCTTGACTTTGTAATCTCTGCGCCCCGGAGCCAGGAAATTTGCCGGAAGGAGCCCAACCTCGCTCTGCCAGGACAGGCAAGAGGCGGGATTCGCGATTTGCGACGCCGAACGGGCGCTGAGCGGTCAGAGATGCTTCAGTCGTGTTAGTACTGGTAATGATTATTGTGTCACGTTACACTGTGTGATGTCATGACAAACACTTGTCGAACGAACGAAGGCGGGTCAGTAGGGAAGAATTAGTCCATATACAGTCCTAGTGTGGCGCTGCTGTACCACAAGGTCAGGTTGAACCGCAAGGTCGGCGGTTCAAACCCACCTGCCGCACCTTGGAAACCCCAGAGAGGGTCTAAGTCGGAACCAACTCGACGACACTTAACAACAACGACAAATATAGAACTTGAGTCTCAAAAAAGGTTAGGTGACTTGGTCACAGTTTCTAAGCAAGTTGTGACCCAGTGGCAAATCTCCTGTTGCCATGTGGTTTAATGGTGCCCTGGTGTGGCGCTGTGGGTTAATGCGCCACACATAAGCTGCTAACCTAAAGGTTGGCAGTTTGAACCACCCCCCAGCACTTCCATGGTAGAAAGGCCCGTCCAGCTACTTCCTAAGACTCTAGCCAAGAACACCTTATGGAGCAACCCTGCTCGGTAACACACGGCTGCCATGAGTCTTTAACACCTTGTGGTTTTTAAAAAAGTCATGCTTACTGCTTTAAAAAGTGAAATGCAGAAGGGCTCATATTGAAAAGGAGCAATTATCTGCTTGTCTTTCTCCTTGGAGTCCTGGTGTGCCACTGCAAGGTAAGCAGTGGGCTGCTAACCAAAAGGTCAGCAGTTCAAACCCACCAGACAGTCTTTGGAAACACTATACAGGTTTGTTATGAGTCTGAACTGAATCTCCAGCACCTCATAACAACAGTCTTTCTCCTATTGCTTATTCCTCAGGGACAATAACTGCTGATTTTTAATTTTTATTTATTTATTTTTTTAGTAGATAACTTCATAGTGTGCATTTAAAGGCATAAAAAGTATGCCCTTTTTTCCCCCTTTGTTTTTGAATTATCCATGTAACACTTTATATTAAAGACATCCTACAGAATCAGCACTGGACTGTGAACCACAATGTTGCCATTTCAACCCCAGCAACTGGACCTCAGAATCCCTGTGCGGTGTGACTATGAGTCGAAACCAACCTGATGGCACTTAACAACTACAGCAATAGAAGAGTCCTGGTGTGGTGCTGTAGGATAAGCACTCTACTACAGGCAAGGTCGGCATCAAAGCCACCAGTTGACTTGACGGCACTTAACAACATAATAGAAGAGGATTTAGCTTTGCCTTATACCATCCCCAACTCTAGTTGATAATTGCTGTTGAGTTGGTTCTGACTCATAGCAACTCTGTATAGGGTTTTCAAGGAGCAGCTGGTGAGCTTAAACTGCCAACTTTATGGTTCAAACCGACCCTGCAGTCCAGCACATTAACCCATAGTGCCACAGTAGGATTCCTAACTTCTCATACTTCCTATATATGTTAGTTAAATCAGAAAGTGATGTTTATGTGGCAAAAATTTTGTTCACTTCAGAGCCAAGTAGTGACGTGAGATCTTAAAAGGACACGTTGGGCTAAATTATTGCTTCCTATTTTCTTTGTACACAGAGCTGAAGACGTAGCCTGGGTCTGGGAGTGTAATCTCAGAACTACCTTTGTGTTGTGCTGCTTTTGCTGAAAGAATGTTTAGAAGATTGACTCTTCCACAACTCCTTTTTGCTAGCCTCCTTGGAATTGTTGGAGGCCTTTATATTTATCAACCAATTTTTGAACAGTATTCCAGAGATCAACAGGCATTAAAAGAAAAGTTGAAACTGCTACAAGAATCTGAAGAGAAGAAAAGCTGATCCTACATGGAGGTGAAACTGTAATAATTGCTGACAGTTCCATTGAAAGTGTACATTGATGATAAATAATCTGGCAAAACCTTCTTAAATATACTTTAAACATTAAAAAATCATGGACAATTATTCACATGCATTTTTCACAGTTGTTGTATGCCATCAAGTTGGTTCTGACTCATAGAGGCTTAGTTTCCAAGAGCGGCAAATGTGTGTGAATTGTCAGCCTTGTGGTTACCAGTTCAGAACTTATCCTGCAGCGGCACACCCGGACGGTTTTTGTTTTTCGTTTTTTTTTTTAACTGCACTGTCAATTTTAATGTTTATTATACTTGAATTACCATTTTAAATCTTCCACCAGGACAAATTAGTTAATTTCCTTTAAGCAAAAATAAATGTCTACTAGAGATGGAGGCAGAGACGATGACATGGAGAGATGGAACGGCTGGGACTCTGGACTCAGGGAGGGAGAGAGGCTGTGTGCTGATAGCTGGGGGTGGGGAGCCAGCTTGCGGGGCGTACCCTTTGGTTGTTTGAATGATTATATATTCCTGAGTGCTTCAGTGTACTTAAAAAAAAAAAAAAAAGCAAAATGGAATGGTAGTAAATGGTGTTGAATGATGATGCATGGAAGGGACTGTAATCATTGCAATGAAATGAAATACGACAGGATGAATGTAAACCTGATGTTCTCCCATGTAAATTATCACTCAATTCACAATAAAAACTTCAAAAAAGAAAAAGAATGTCTAAAGTAATATTTTGTTTCCCAAAACCAAAAACCCTTTGCTATGATTCAATTTTGATTCGTAGCGACCTGTTCAAACTCATCAGCTTCTCTGAGGGAGAAAGATGAGCTTGCCTGCTCCTGTAAAGATTTATAGTCTCACCAACCCAAAGGGGCAGTTGTCCTCTGTTCTCTAGGGTCGCTATGAGAAGCAACACAACAGCAATGGCTAGTGGGTTTGTAGAGCAGTGTAGAACTGCCCTATTGGTCTTCCAAGTCAGTAATCTACATGGAAACAGACACATCTTTCTCCCTCAGAGAGGCTTGTGGGTTGTAACTGTCAACCTTTCAGTTACTAGAGGAGTGCTTAACCACTGAAATACTACCAGGGCTCCTTTTGGTTTTCTAGCCAGGGTTTGTTTTTCTGGAAACAGCATATACAGTTACATGGGGTACAATCTAGGTGTGTATACAATAGCTGAGAATGGTGTTTGTGATGAAGTGAACCAAGTGGCCTACTGAAGATAGAAGGCCTCTCAGCATACGGATAGTCCGGTTTAATACGCTTCTATCTATGTCCCTAAGGAGCTCTGGTTATGAGTCAGGCTGCCAACCTCAAGGACAGCAGTTAGAAACTACCAGCGCTTCTGAGGGAGAAACGAGGCGTTCTGCTCCCGTAAAGGTTAACAGCCTCGGAAGCCCAGTGCAGGGTCACTACAAGTCCGAACCGACTCCACAGTACTTAACAACAACATCTATGTCCCTGGATAGTGTAAATGACTTGTGATTAGCTGCTAACCCAAAGGTTGGTGGGTGAACCAATATAGTGACACCACCAAAGAAAGATCTGTCGATGTAGTGTAAAGGTTACAGCCAAGAAAACTGGATGCAACAGCTCTCCTCTGTCATGTGGGTTCACATATGAGTCAAAACTGCCTTGATGACACTGCTAATAAGTAGTCTTTTCCTGTCTCTTCTCAATCCAAGCAGAATGGAGTAGTAGAAAATTAGATGGGCTCATCCAAGGAGTGGCTGCTGGGTTTGAATCCCCAACCTTGTGATTAGCAGTCCAGTGCCCATACTATACCACCACACCAGGACTCCTTAGAATTGGTAAGTGCTGTTGAGTGGGTTCCGACTCACAGCGACCCTGTATAGAGTTTCTGAGGAGCAGCTGGTGGTTTGAACTGCTGACCTTGAGGTTCACACTGACCTTTTGGTCCAGTGCTTATCCTACAATGCCACACCAGATTCCTTAGAATTGTCGTTACATGCTGTTGAGTTTGTTCCGACTCCTAACCACCCTATATAGTTTCCAAGGAGCGGCTTATAGATGTGAACCACTGACCTTGCAGTTAAAACTGACCTCGGAGTCCAATTCTTATCCTATAGCTCCACACCAGGACTCCTTAGAAGGGGCTATTGTTTTTAAGTGCTGTCAAGTTGGTTCTGATTCAGTGACCCTGTATAGGGTTTCTGAGGAGCTACTGGTGAGCTTGAACTGCTGACCTTGCAGTTCAAATGGCTTTTCAGTCTGACTCATTAGCCCACAGCGATAGTAGATGGTGTTGTATCTGGTGGCAGAAGTGACACACATCTGCTGGTTTTATCCACTAAGCAGATATGCATTAATGTGGTAAGGAAGGAGTTAATTTGTTATGAAGCAATCACTCAAATAATTAAAGTGCTCTTTGAAGTTGCTAAGCACCAGTTTTACTTTTTACCCTAATAATCTCAAAGCCTTAAATGTAATTCCATATGTGCAAATGCTTTATTAAGTCAATACAATTTAATTACTGATTTCTTAAAAAGTAAATTCAGGTGTTTTCTTGTTTTGTTTTTCATTTCAGCTATCTATGTTAATTGGAGACCAGCATGAGTAGTTTAAAATAAAAAGTAAAGATCAAATTATGAGAGTATATTTATTTGGAAATTAAAATAATACAGAAATGTACAA